TTTATGCTGCTACTGCCTCCAATTAAATGCAAGGGAGCACAAGTGACAGGCACGAGTAAGATTGGTGTGCAGAAAACCATATTCTAATGCAAAAGCTGTGATGAGAAAATGGAATCTACACACCTGATGGGAATATTAATGCAAAACCTTGACCTATAATTTTTCTTTCTTCAGTCTGAGCGTGCCAGAAACAATTGCAGCTCATTAAAATGGATCATGTCCTGACAGTCATGCATAATGACCAAGTCCCACAAGCCCCATGGTTTAAATGTTTGCCTTGCTGGTGAAGCCAGCAAAGTAAATGTTTAGACCATGGGACTTGTGGGATGTGGACATTATCATAGAGCTGCATGGTCCTGCATGACTAGGCACAGGAAACTGCAGTAAACCTCAATGACCCTTTCTCTCCTTTAAACCCAGTGTTATCAGAGAAAGAGCTAGGGGAAAAAAATCCCAAATCTAAGAGTGCCAGTGTGGGCTGGACCTCTGGAGTACATCTGGCCCATGCCCCTGTTCAAAGCAGGACCAACTTCAAAGTCAAATTCAATTTGAAAGTTAGCTCAGGTGGCTCAGTGTTGAGAACTTCCAAGGATGGAGATTTTACAGCCTCTCTGGGCAGTCTGTTCCAATGCTGCCTTCTCAGGGCTCAATCTGGAAGCCATTCACCACATCATAACAACATCTGGCTCTACTTTCTTAAGTGCTTTTTGGATGCAAAGTGTGTGTTGGCAGGTGGGATGCAGTAAGTATCAGTAGGGAAGGTGATAGCATCGTGCAAAGACAATTCTTTTGCAAGGAAAATAGCTCAGAAAACAGTTTACACAAGATGGGATGAGAAGGAAGGCACTGCAGTATTTTATTCTGAGCCTGGTGCCGTTTTTCTGTAAGGCACTGCCAGATCAGTTCCTGAAGATAGAATAACCAAAATGTTGTTCAGTTTGGGCTTGGTATTTGGCACAGACTTGAGATGTCAGTGCTGTGGTTAGCTGTGGTAGAGCACCAAACACAATTGCATCTCTCTTTCTCCACTGAGCAGTGAGGTCTGCATCCCTCTTCAGAGGCATCTCTCCCTCCCTTGGCTCCTGATGGAGGGAGCCAAAGGCAACAAGCTTCCTAGCCCTGACACCTCTGATATGTGTGAAGATGGATGGGTTGAATGCAGGCCTAAAATATTTTACATTTTCACGGCAGTTTCACAGCCCTGGCATTATCAAATGATCTTTCAAAGTACTTGGAAGCAGGAGAAGAACAACTCGAGATAGGTTCTGGCTTTTTTGTGTCTGTGTACTTGCAAACTGTCTCTGCCTACACATCTTGCAGGGCCTGCTCCTGTTTGGAGATGCACACGGAAAATCAGAGCTCGTGTGGATGCTCTGTCTGCTCCATTTCCCCCTTGAAGTTGGAGGATGTTCAAAGCAGGTCCCCATCCCTGGGTGGTTAAGATTTGCCCTATGTGCTGCACTCCACTGACCAGCCTAGTTAGGAACTCGAGGCTAGGAAACACAAGACAATTTTAAAATCTGAACAAAAGTAAGAGATTAAGGAAACCAGCTGGAAACCTCTATTTTGCTGATTTTGAAAGCAAAATGTGGGTCACAGATGTGCTTTCACAGACAGAAACTGGCTGGAGAAGAAAAAGACATCAGCATTGCCCAGACTCTTTGATGATCAGAGGTAGATTTAGCTCCTAGGCATAGAGACAAGAAAGGAAGAGGAGAATAAGTAGGAATAAAAACATAATCAAGATATTAGGAATGTAGAATGCAACCCACCCATAAATTTGCCTTAGGGAACTATGAAAAAATGCAGTAACAAAAAAGATGAAATCAATTGCTACATCTTACTCTCTTCCCTTGTCTTGCCTTCCTTATGGCTTTGCTTTTTGCAGTCCAAGACACAGGGGGTCCATTACAGAACCTTCCCTCTTCCTTGATCATGTTTTTTCCTTGCAGAAGTGCTGTTTTCTGCTGCTCCTTTGCAGCAGCTACGAAATCCTTGCTAAGGACCAGCTGACTTTAGAGCCCAAAAGAAACAAAGCTTTGCAGGAAATTCATACTATCCGCGTGTATCAGAGGCTAGAAAGCAACGTGGTCTGACCCATCTGGCTCCAGAAGGGAGCTACTACTCGTTTCTTGTTTAGTCTAACACAAAAGATTAAACTTATTTGCAGTGAAATTGATGACAGACTGGTAAGAGCCATGCTGCTGACCCTTGCAGGCTGTTGATTAGCCTGTGACTTCTCTCTCAGGGGCTGCAACAGAAGGCCTGTTGTTCCAGCCATTTAAAAAAACCTCAAGGTAAAGCACTGGAAGAGCAATTAAGGACAACAGCAGCACTGACTCAGAGAAGCCCAGGTGGTGGTTCCTTAGAAATGGTCAAGCAGCAGGGGGAGGTTCTGAACAGCATTCAGGGCATTTGGTGGGTGGTTTCTGGGGTGAAGGGAAGTGCCAGGAGCACTCCTGAAGGTCTCACCTGTGCTGGCCACAACACGACCTGGTCACTTGGTGCCTTCAGGCTTTGTGACATGTGCTGAGCAGCCACGGAGCACAATCTCCAATTCCTGCAGGAAACTTCCCTCCTGCCAGCAAAATGCCAGTCCCTACAGCTTAACACCAAGAGAAGCCTGAAATGAGATGCTAGTGCAGCTCACTGCCTGTCACTGTTTTTCAGACTTTGGGGAACTTAGAATTCAGTTCTTGTCTGGAATTTATTTTTCTCAGCCCTAATGAAAACACATTTTGTAGCTGTTAGCGTTTTAAATCGAGTATCAGTGTCAATAAAGACAAGCCTTTTCCCAGGGTGGGGAAAAATATAAAACTGTCTCAAATCTTCCACTCATGCAAAAGTAAACAGCTTCAAAGCATTGAAGAATTAAATAAAATATATTCTTCTTTTCACTGGGAGTCCACTGTGTATGAATAAGTGCCAACTGAGCTCTCACTTGCACTGCCATCTCCTGTGATGGCACCAGGGCTAGAGGTGCAGCAGGATGTGTTATGGTGCCCTGCCATGTGACAACATCTCTGCTCCCAGAGGTGGAACCACCAGAGGCTCCTAAACACCAGCAGGGCTGTAAATGAGAAGGACTTTGTTATCTCCAGCTTCCCTATCCAACCTAGCCCAGAGGAAAAAGGTGTCCAGCCACAGCACAGCTCACAGTGCAGCTGAGGAGAGAGGCAGCACAGCACTCCCCTGGCAAGGAAGGTGATCCATCCTCATCTGGATGCAAGAGATTTTGTCAGAAAGACCAGAATTCATTTGGCTGGGCTGCAACCTCTAGACTGAAATTGCTGTGAATACTACAGCACAGAGCCTCTTCAGCTGATGTCTAGAAACTGCTTGTGGTTTCAGAGCTCTTGTTGATGAATTGCACAGTAGCTGGTCATATTGGGAGGGCTTGCTTATTATTTTCAACTGCTATCTTGCATGGAAGGAAAATCAAAATACTTTCCTCAAGGTAATTGGCTCTAAAACAATTGAAGATTTTTCCACAAGGTTGTAATGCAATTAGGACTGGCATTTTAGATAATTTATATCTCTAAAGGTATGTTTATGCCATCATACCCTTATTTTGGGAGGCGGGGGGAAAGCTACTGGCAAGAGAAAGCTTATTTTGCTATTACAGGCCATGAAATATAGATTAAACCATCATCCACCTAGTACTGATTAAAAGGCAGCAGAATGCCAGGATCATCTCTGAGGTGTGATCATGGTTGGGTAGGATGCTGTGTCACCAACCACACATCTGCAGGTTTCCTATTCAGTTTTCCATCAATGCCAAATGATGTGTCATCACTTGCCTTCTGCTGCAGCACCTCAGGAGCTGTGCTCCCCAGCTGCCCTGCCAGCTTGGATGGGAGCAGCTGGTGCAGCTGGGAGCACCACACAGAACAAAACCAGCAGCCACACCAGTGCCTGGGTTGTGTTCTGATAGATATCCAGGAATACCCCAAGCAGAGATGCCAAACATGCAATAACAACTCCAGAAGTGCATGAAACAGCTGGTGAACTTGTTGATATGGGATATTGTGACAGCCAAAAGCATGGATGCAGCATTGCCCAACACCATTGAGAAGCCTCTATTTCCCTGAGTACCAAAGGGTATCCGTGGGGAAATGAACACTCTCTGCCTGCCTGTTCCTTATGTTTATTTTATACTTAACCACCTTTGGCTGACTCTTGCCCAAGACACAGTCCAGGGCCAAGGGCATTTTGCCTGACTGCAACAGATGCTGTGATTGAAATTATGGGATGAAAACCTTTAGTTTCCTGGCCTAGGTGGAAGCAAATAAATTGGATCAATTATCATTACAAATGGGTCTGAACTGAAACTGAGAAGACACTGAATGTCTCTTCAGAGCCACAGCAGCCATTTATGGGTGGATGTCCTGTCCTCATGACTGTATGAACCAAAGCCATGGATTCAGACAATCCCCACTGAATGACATCTGGGTGTGGTTCCTAACAGTAGAGAAGCCACTGACTGTATTACAAGAGTAACTCAATGCCCCTGAAAAAGTAAAGGTATCTCTTACCCTTAGTTGTAACCCAGCTGACCTATCAGTACACTGTACAACTATGGAAAGTACAGTGGGAAAGAAAAGCAAACAGGGGAGAGAAAAGCAAACCCAAGAGCTGCACTGATGAACAAAGCAGGTGGTCACACCCTTCTGTTGCCAATCAGATAGACAAAGGAGCCACCTGCTGTGCCCACAGGTTGACCTGCCTCTATTTGCTAGATCCATGTTTGTGAAAACCTACCTTGAGACATTTGGGAGCAGTTTGGGAACCTGGCCTTGGGGTCACAGACCTGACCCCCGACTGGCCAAAGGGGGCCTGATCCTTTGTGCCTTGCAGCAGCCTGTGACACAACACACATCCCAGACTGTAAGCAGAGTCACATTCAGTTCCACTGCTATGAGATCATTCACCTCAGGTAAAACTTCAACAGATCCAAATGCAGCTTCTTAACATGAAAGACTATGGACAGGGGTACTCACTATTGGGCTGAGTCGTTAAGTTGATATTCCCGGGACCGGTTGAAGCATTCTTGGATCCCAGAGTCTGCCCAGAGCCTCATCATAGCTGACAGCAGCTCTGGAGAGAAGGGCTCTGTGTCCTCCATCCGACTTACGACATCGCAGACCATCTTGGCATCAGCCTGCAGAGGAAAGAAACAGGAGGTCACAGAGATGCTCAAGGCAGAATTTGGAGCCAGACATTTCAGAAACAGTTCACCAAACCATCAGGAGTAAAGAGGCTGTGTTTCTCGGGATAAGGCTTTAGCATCACACTGTGTGATCCAGATGAATGGGCAAAAGGAGGATGGAGGAAGGAAATCACAAGGAAAAAGATTGTTCATGCAATCCACCTCATATCAACAAGTATTTCTATTCAATAGACAAAGCAGTCTGCACTGCACATGTGTGGAATTTCATAGGAGCAGAAAGAAATTCATACATGTACAAAGATATTTAAAATTGTTAGCAACAACGCCTGCTTTAACTGAGTGTGGAACCTTGCTGAAGTGGGGGCTTTGTATCAGAAAGAACAGCAGAAAGACTCCAGAAACAATTTTTTCCAGATGCTGGTTTATTGCTTTTCCTGAATTCTTGTTCTTTGCTATGAGCCCCTGCTAGGAGGGCTAATTCATGTTAATGCAGACCACCTTGGCTGGCTGTGGTGCTCTGTGACTCAGAGGGAGAGGAATCTCCCACGGTCATGGAGCATGGCAGTGAGGGCAGGGCCAGCTGGCCATTTTCACATGGAGTCTTTTTTGGTGAGACAAATGAGATTCACTGGGACAGCAACTTCTCCTGGAGGATAGTGCTCTGACACAGCTTGGGTCCGGAAGATGTCTCAGATTTAGGATGGGAACGTCTAGACAGCCTTGGGATAGCTGAGTTCAGCCCTCCTGTAATAGTCCACAGTGGCTGATGCTTCACTTGTTTGTGAAGCAGGACACTCAAATTCATGACCCCCTCTGCTTGCTTTGCAAAAAGTAAATATTCCACAGCACCCACAGACTCCTTAAACCCTTGGGATGTTGACTAATCTGCAGAGCTTTTCTTCCATTGATTTGAAAATGTCTCATATTTCTACTAGCTGAAACAAACCCAATTATTATTGCTATAATTAACTGGAAAAGACGAGCTCTTGTTCCTTGTGTATGTGCAGCAAACCTGTGAAGGCAACCTTCTTGTTTTACTACCTTGTCTCTTGTCTGCTAGACTGAACCCATTCTTGGCCAAATGCAGCTGGAAATCTTTGCTTCCAGGGTGTTTGATCTAAGCCAGCAAGTGCAGACCAGAAATACAAATCTCGAGAAGGGAGTGCAGGCTCTGCCCATGCTTTGCTGAGTACAATTAGAAGTGCCATCATTGAGGAGCACCACAATAACCTTATTGTATGGATGGGAATGACAAGTGTATGACAGGGTCTGCATGGTCAGGATCAAAACCCTGTAGCCTCTTTGCTGAACACCGGAACTGTGGAAAAATTGCAGGGCACCAAACCAAAAGCTCTGGAGACTGAAGCTTCTGGAGATTTCAGTGCTCAATGAAAGAGCCTCAGGTGCCTTGAATATCCAGCCTTTATGGGCTGAAGAAGTCTCAGTACTGTATGTCTCAGTACTGTATCCCATAAAACTTAATGGGGTGGACTCTATGCATTGAAGGCTTTATGAACATAAAATCTTTCTCACAGAGCACTTAACTTCATATTTTAGTGCCCAGGAATCCTCCCAGCCTTCTGTACAGACTCTGCTCATTTTGGAGAAAAAGTATTGGTGACTCACACCTCAAAGCCAAGACAAACGAAGAATCTTGAAGAGTTCAGTTAATTTCAAAAGCTTGTTTTCTGCCCCGGAGTGCTTTGTGAGCTGAGTGAATATTCATAAATCATCTGTATGGTTTGCCTGCCCTGCTGGAGCTGCAATTCTACTCTTTTCACAGACTCTAAATGACATAAAACCTGCTAATGGCTGCGGTCTGCCTTGGCCCCATTATTTGTGCATGGGTGATGCAGGAAAAGCATCCATGCCTCCAGTCAGGTAGAAGGATGTCTTTCTATATTATCTTGACTGCTGCAGGTGTAAGTCACAGATCTGTCCATCTGTCTGCGATGGCAAAGCACATTTGAAGCTTTCCAGCTGTCAGGGGCATGGTCTGGGCTTCTTCTGAGTTTTGTGGATTTAACTGCAGACTGCTTTTTGCAAAACATCAGAGGGAATGGCACAGTCACCGTATTTTCTGTGCTAGGAAATAGCTGCATCACCTTTTCAACTACTGAGACTTGTGGCAGTTCCCTGTGAGTAAGACCCAACACAGGGGGTTTTTGAGCAGAAAACAGAGATGAACAGCAATGACAAGGCAAAATGGGAGTGACCAGACACACATTTCTGGTTGTGGTTATCTGTGAGTCTATGGGGCCAGAAGTGGGGCTGAGCACATAGGGCAGGGGATTATTTTAGTGCATGCTCCTCTGCAGTCACTGTCCTCCCACAGCATGGACACCTGCCTGCAGGGCAGACTGAGAGTCAGCAGGCTGAAAAAGGGGAAGAACTGGAAGGAAAGTTTATTGCTCCTGCTGAACAGTAATAAAAATATTCCAGACTTGGTTTTATTTTGCAGAGTGAACCACTGAACTGTTGGTTTTACAGATCCAGAAAAAGCAGGTGAATTGAGTACTTTTAGAAATACCCCTTCCCCCTGCCAAGGTTGAAGTCCCTCTGTCAAGGAGCACGAGGCCATCCAGGAGTTCAGGCATTTGTTAAATGATTTAACGAGCAATTAAGGATCTAAGAAGAGAAGATACCCCTTTCTTTTCTCACTCTCCAGGCTGTGTCTCAAGCTGGGAATGACATTAAAATCTCCAACTCCCCCTGGGCCCAGCAGGTAGATTTTAAATACTGCCTGATTGACTTTTTCCTGCCTGCCTCCCCTGGGTCTGCTGCTCCTGCTTTTCCCGAGGTGAGAGGAGCCGAGCCTCCCGCCACGCTCTGCCTCTGTACTGCAGCCAGCAATTAAATAAAGCAAAACAAAACAGGCCAACCAGCCCCCCCACTCCCCTGCCTGGCAGCTCCCATCCGACAGGGTTGTCATTAATGAACATCATGGTGGTATTTCAGCTACCTCGGGAGCTAAAAATAGGCAGTGCTTGGCCCCTGGGATTGCTGGAAGGAGCTACAAAATGGTGCAGGGCTCATTCCACCACTGCTGCTTCTGCCTTTCCCAGCTGCTTTGTCTCCCATTTCCTTGGAGTAAGACATCTGGGAGGAGGATAAGAGGTCAGGCTGGTCTCCTTCATGCTGGTTCTTACCCAGCATGAGCATCCTAGCCTGTCTCTGCAGCATTCCCACATGTCCTGCTGCCACTCCCCAGTGGCTCACATTTTTCATAGCAGGTGAAACCCTAACACCTGAGCTGAATGCCTTTGGGCTGCTCATCATGGACAGTGGGATTTGTCACTTGGTGTCATTCCTGAATGCTGATTCCATCCACTTACAGCAAGAGAATTAAAGCTGGCTGGGCATGGCCTGGGGAGACAGCTGAGCTTAGAGACTGTGGTAACGTGAAATTATACATCCAGGCTTTAGACATCAGGCTGAGACCAAATAACTCTTTGCTAAAGAACAAACCTCCACTCTGGTCAGGGAATGGAGAGGGCTCTGTAAGGCCAGGGCAGGGTCTGAAATCCAGAGACAGATGTGAGTAAGAAGCTTGTAAACACAGTGGGCAGTTGGCATGTGTCATTCCTAACCCCAGGCTGTGGACCTGTGCACCACACTTTCAGTATAAATCCAGCTCCAAAGAGGATCAGTTCTCTCCCTAACATGGACATAACTGCAGTTATTTAATTGTCTCCCATATGTCACTGTCACCAAGCTCACAGCCTGTGCTCAGCATACAAACCTGTGACTCCATACAGCCCAATTAATGTGTTACCTGGCTGGGAGGGAGGGGCCCCTCCCTGCAGTCTGACACTACTGACACTTGAGTTTGGCACTGCAAGCAAGTTATTTTCCATCACACAGATACAGACCACCCCTAATTACTTGTTTCCTACCACCACCCATGACTGGTGCCCACGAAGATACCAGCAGAGCTGCACTATGAAGGTACCAGCAGAGCTGCTGCTGCCCTGGCTGCTGTAGAATCACACTGGAATAGGACCCAGGTCCCCATCTCTGGCTATCCCTGGCTCTCAAATCCATTTAGTTGCCTGGACACTGACTAGGAGACTTCTTTTTTTTTCCTTTTCTTTTTTTCCAACAGGAATAGTTTTCTGGAAGGCAAAATTTAAGGCAGAGGCAAAACCTTGTGTGAAGCTCTGTGGTACAAATCTGCTAAACCCTAAAGAGCTGTGCTGTGTTACATCCACTGGAGATATGAGCTGGTGTGCCATATTGTACTGTCCTTTCCTTTTGGTGAACTAAATCTCAGTAAATATTAATTTTGTTTTCTGTTATTTACTCTGATTAATGATACTTGTCACTTAGCCTATCTCAAAGGTTAACCCTAGGGCAATTTCCTCTGGTGGCTGGTTGTACCAGGAGCTGCTTCTCAAAACATTTCAGAAAATCCATGCAGTGGGGGGGAAAAGATAAGCACTGCAGTGTGGCTGGTGGTACAAGGCAAATCAGCACAGGACCAGTCATCAGAAAGCAATCTCGTGAAAACAGTAGCGGCCATCATGAGTCATGAACCTGGGGGTAATCAAGCTGATGTCTTGAGATGATGCAGCATCCAAAAACGATGTCCTTGGAAGGGAACCTTTGTGGGGGACCCAGATCCTGACCTCAGGGCACAGCAGTACATATCTCTGCTTCTCCAGTGAGAAATGATGTCCCATAACTGCACAGCAGAACATGTCTCATAAAATGAAAACCTCCCCTTTCTCGTTACAGAGTTTCTCAGAAATATGGACCTGACTTCCCAGCCAAAGCGTGGTTACATTGCAGCAAAAGCCAGTGGTTTTCACAGCATTTCAGACTGAATAAATCCTGGAAACAAAATATGGCTGGTGAATATGCCTTCTTCCAGACACATCCAGAGCCCGCTTCAAGTCCACAGCAGTTTTTGCAGGCACTGAATAAATAGCTGCATGTATGACTCTCCCCCTCACTCTCGCTCTCTTTCTCACACATCTGTGTTTCAGAGC